TATATATATATATATATATATATATATATATATATATATATATATATATATATATTTAACAATTATTCCACGAGCGCGCGTTGGATATGAGATGATAGATAGCCAACGAGGCGCGTAGCGCCGAGTTGGCTATAATCATCTCATATCCAACAAGCGCGAGTGGAATAATTGTTTTATTAAAAACGTTAAATTAAATTATTAAATTTTATTAAATTTTTAGCTCCCTTTTAATTTTAAGCTGACACGTACGCTTGCCATATTTGTAGATTATGGTATATTGGCTGATATACCATAATGGCTAAGCCAATAAAAAGTCGTGAATTGCATTATCCAATGATCTAGTTTTTAATAAATATATATATACATATGATGAGATACATATATATATATTTATATAACTGCAGACAGGGTGCACACTGTTTCGACCTATGTGGGTCTCGTCAGTGCAGATATATATATAGTAGCAAATGCACTACTCAAGTGACGCACATATGGATTTTAATACAGCCTGTATATATATAAGCGAAATAGGCAACGTAGGATCCATGACAGTGCTCGACAATGAAGGAGCGATTACAGTAGCAAATGGACTACTCAAGTTACGCACATATGGATTTTAATACAGCCTGTTTCGTAGACCAACAAAAGTTGATCCACTAATCAGTTAAACTCCATACACACTGAGGCATCGTGACGAGAAAATTTCATTACTTGCGGCAAACAAGAAAATCATCAACTTTCTCGATGTAACGCTTGACCTGATAACCGGCAGATTCGGACCCTATTCCAAACCAGCAACCACCCATCTATACGTACACAGCAGGTCTAACCACCCACCTTGCATACTACGAAACATCCCCGAGGCAGTTAATAAAAGACTTTCTGAAATCTCTTGTGACGAAGACATGTTTAACAAAGCCGCACCTCCCTACCAAGACGCGTTACACAAGATTGGCTACACATACAAGCTGCACTTCACTGAAACGGAACCGCACCGACCGCAATACCAAACCAAAAGGCGAAGAAACATCATTTGGTTTAATCCACCATTTAACAGAAACGCCCAGACCAACATTGGCAGAGCGTTTATTAACCTTATTGTCAAGTGCTTTACAGTCACCCACAAACTGAGGAAAATTTTCAATAGAAACACCATTAAACTGAGCTACTCATGCACACCAAATATGAAACAGATCATAGACGGGCATAACAAAGCCACAATCAGGAACGCAAAAATGTCCGAAGATAGCCGCCCCCGAAGATTGTGCAACTGCAGGAACGAAAACGAATGCCTTTAGGAGGGGAATGTTTGCAAAGCGAGGTCGTCTACCAAGCCACAGTCGCTACTAGGGAAGAAACTGAAACGTACGTTGACCTCACAGCGACAGATTTTAAGACTAGATGGCGCAACCACCAAATGTCGTTCAACCACGAGAGAAGGCGAGATGACACAGAGCTGGGCAAGTAGCTGTGGAAACTAAAGGAGAAGAGGGAAGACTATTCGATTTCATGGAAGATTATTGCTAGGGCTAGAGCATATTCCAATGCCACAAAACGTTGCAATTTATGCCTCACTGAGAAATTTTTTATCTTGTCTTATCCACATGAAGCCTCTTTAAACAAGCGAAGTGAAATAATATCCAATTGTAGACACTGGCGAAAATATATTCTCAACTATTCTTAACGCTATTATCGGCGCGCGCACGGTTTTCAAGATTTTAATTTTTTAAACAATATCAAGTGATCACGTTGCTGAGTTAGAGTTAACCGTCACGATGCCTCAGTGTGTATGGAGTTTAACTGATGAGTGGATCAACTTTTGTTGGTCTACGAAACAGGCTGTATTAAAATCCATATGTGCGTCACTTGAGTAGTCCATTTGCTACTATCTTGCTACTATCTTGATTAAGATTTATACAGTTATAGGATTATACAGTTATAAGATTATACAGTTATATATATATATATATATATATATATATAACTGCAGACAGTACCGTTTCGGCCTTCTTGGCCTCATCAGTGCCACATTTGTGGTATCGTCTAAGCCATGCCAGAGTGCTCAGACTAGGGAAGCCTAGTGAGCTATGCGCAATGCTAGCGGCAATGATTCATCCCACAGTGCTCAGTTTGTACATGAAAGCAGAGCTCTGTATGCCAAAGAGCTATATGTAACTGCAGTAAGTACCGTTTCGGCCTTCTGGGCCTCATAGACGATACCACAAATGTGGGATCGTTCGGGGTAACCATTTCGGTTCTCCCCCATCCTAGCAGTAGCACTACATTGTAGTATCCTCTATGTATATACATAGAGGACATTACATGGCCGCGCGGGAATACGAATTTTATCGTCGAGTGCTGAAAGTATCTCTCACGAGTGAGAGATACTTTCAGCACGAGATGATAAAATTCGTATCCCCAAGCGGCCATGTAATGTTCTGTTTATTACATAGATACTGATGAAATTTCCACATAAAAGACAATTTTTGTTATTAATTTTTATTCATTTTTAAATATATATAATCAATCTAAAACTATATATCTGATTGTAGAGCACTCTCTGACTCAAGTATCAAATTTTCACGTTTATAGTCGTTAATGGCACTCTAAGGCTAACAAGGGTGCACCGCGCCAGGAGGATCAATAAAGATTCGCAGTCTAAACCTCACAGCCAACACGAACGTAGAAAGTTTAAAAAATTGCGAAGATAGACAACTTCTGACGTAAAGAATATAAAAAAATTTAATAACAAACGTTTCGGTCAGAGACCTTCTTCAGTTAGTTACCTGAAAAAAAAAAAAAAAGAAAAAAAAAAAGGGGTACAAAATTACTAACTAACGTATGACGTGTCCATTTGCCGGACATCAAGCCCGCGGAGGAACAGACGAAGGAACATTCTATGGTACAACCCGCCGTAAAGCAGAAACGTTGAAACAAATGTTGGAAAATGCTTTCTTTCTCTCATCGACCAGCACTTCCCCAAATCTAATCCACTACATAAAATTTTCAATCGGAACACTGTTAAATTAAG